GGGTATCATCAGTGCTTTGCACCGATTGGATCTGGAGATCCGAACCTAGACCTTCGACACTCCCCCTCAAGCGGTGCGAAGACCCATCAACCAGCAGAAGTACTGGACCTTCGGGCGTGTGAGAGCCTTCGTGAAGATATCGGCAACCATCTCGTTGGTAGGTACGAAGACGAGACGAGCGCGATGAGTGGCGACGGCATCACGAGTGAAGTGGTAATGCACGTCGATGTGCTTCGTGCGGGCGTTGAGCAATCCGGACTGAGCGAGGGCAATAGCACCTTGATTGTCCGAGTTGAGGGTGACGGCACGAGGAGGGCTGAGGGTGAGCTCGGCGACGAGACGACGAAGCCAGATAAGCTCTCGGGTGGCACCGGAGGCGGCGATGTATTCGGCTTTGGTGGAGGAGAGTGCGATAACTGACTGTTTTCGCGAGCTCCAGCTGATGGCGGCGCCGTTGTAGGTGAAGACATAGCCGGAGATCGAGTGGCGATGAGCCTGCGAGGCCCAGTCGGCGTCGGAGTAGCCAACAAGGCCGTCGGCGTTGAGACCACCAAGTACGAGACCGTGGGTCTTGGTGCCAACGAGGTAGCGAACGACGCGTTTTGCGGCCTCCCAGTGAACGTTCGCGGGATCGGACATGAAACGTGCGAGCGTGGAGACAGCGTACGCGATATCCGGACGAGTAGCGACGGCGGCGTACATGAGGGATCCAACGAGTTGAGCATAAGGCTTGGTCTTCATGGCGGCGCGTTCATCGTCGGAGATCGTGACGAAAAGGTTCGCGTGAGGGTCCATCGGCGTAGCGACGGGGTGTGCATTCGACATATTGAAGCGGGCGGCGATAACATCGATGTAGCCGGCCTGCGACAGAGCGATGGTGTGAGCGACAAGATTTCGCTGAATCGCGATACCTATCATCCCGCTGCTGCCCGATTCGACGATTTTGTAGCGCTTGCTGATGTTCGCCTTCAACGCGGCCATGTTGGCATTGTTGTTGGCGACTACGGCGCAGTCGTCGACGTGGATTCCGAGCGCGAGGGAGACGTCCGCCTCGAATAGGTAGAACAAGGCGGGGTCGTTCTCGCTGCGGGTGAAACCGAGTTGGTTGACGAGGAGGTCGTAGACCTTGAGGTACCACTGCCGGCCGGCCTGCTTCAGGCCGTACAGTGCTTTCTTCAGGCGTAGTACAAAGTGCTCCTTGCCCGGCACCTCAAAGCCGGGTGGTTGGCGCATGTAGATGTCCTCCTCGAGGTCGCCATTGAGGTAGGCGTTGGTGAAGTCGATGATCTCGAGGACCCAGCCGTTCTGAGCTGTGAGTGAGATGAGATAGCGAAGAGTACTAAGCCGGATGGTGGGTGAGGATGTCTCGGTGTAATCGAGGCCATAGATCTGAGTGTCGCCACCGGCGACGAGGCGGGACTTGAGGCGAGTCACGATGTTGTCCTCGTTGCGCTTGCGCTTCAGCACCCAGTGACTGCGCACCACATTCGCGCCGTCCGGTTTCTCCATCGGCCCTTCCCAAGTACCCATCCTCTCCAACGTATCAACCTCAGTCTGCATCGACTCTCTCCATTCATCACGATCGGGACCGCTCAACGCCTCGCGGGCTGTCGGCTCGTCTCCTGGCATCGTGGCACACGCGAAGATCAGCTCCTCGTCGTTCTTGCTCTCGCTCACGGCTGCGGCGACCTCGTGAAACGGATCCTCCTCGCTCGTGGCGACTTTTGCGGACTCGGCGGGTAGCAGACTCGACGGTACGCGCTGCGCTCCGCGACCACCTGCAGTACCGGCTCCGGATTCGATATCTCGGAGCCATGCGGTTGGCTTACGGATGCGCGCTGGGCGGCTCTCCGGCTCGCACTCGGACGCCTTGGTCTTGGCAAATGGCTCGGGGCTCAGGGATATACGCTCGAGGGCTGGCATAGGCCTCTCGGGCTCGCTCTCAGGCGTGTTCGACGATGCGCTGGCGGGCGCAGGCGTGGCTTTCGCGTTCGACGTGGTAGATGCCGAGTTTTCGAACGGGTTGAAAGGATCGTTGGAAGGAGCGTTCGGGGCGGATTGTGAGTTACCGTGCTCCCCCTCGGACTGGACGCGTGTGACAACGAGTCGCGAATTGTCGAACTTGACGTCGCGCTCGACTGAGATCTTGTTCTCACCAGGCCAGTAGATGCGGTGGCCCTTGCTGTCCGTGTCGAATCCGAGCCAACGCGCCTGTTTCGAGCGGGCATCGAGCTTCGAGTCGGGTTGCACCCGTACCCAGCACCACTCGCCGAACGTGCGAACTGCGGAGAGATCGGGCTTCACGCCGGTTGCGCGTTCATGCGGCGTCGATCCGGGCGTGTTCGCCGTCGTCGTGCGATTGCGAAGCCAGAGAAAATGGCGCAGGGACTCCCACCAGAGCGATCGCGGCAAATCGGCGTGCATCAGCTGCGTGCGAGCGCCGCCGACGATGGTTTGATTCAATCGTTCGGCCTTGCCGTTCTGCTGCGGGGAATCATGGACGGTGAGACGTCGAACTGTTCCGGCCTGTTCGAGATGGCAATCGAACGCATCGCTCTTGTACTCGCCACCGCGATCCGACTGATAAGTCCCAATACCAGAGGCGGCGCCTCGGTGTTTCTTCGCCCATGCCTCGTATGACTTGTATTTGACGAATTGCTCCCCCTTGCTCCGCATACCGTGCACGACTGCCTCGTCAGTGCTATCGTCCAGGAATGTCGTGAAATACTCGAATCGAGTTCCCATCGACTGGACCTTCGCCTTGCCCCACACGTCGCTATGCACGTGTTCGCCGTAGTGCTTCGCACGAGGAGTCGTACGTTCCTTCGTGAACGGCTCGCGCTTCTGCTTGCCCTCCTGACAAGAGGGACAGAAGGCGGCCTCGCCGTCGGTGAGCTCCACGCCGGTGATAACACCCTTATCGACCATAGCCTTCAACGTTCCTGCATGCTGATGGCCCATCCGGTTGTGAAACTCGGTGAGACTCATCCTGACGTTCGCACTGGCGGGCATTGCTACCTCGCCTACAGGAAGGTTCGGCCATGTAGCGCCGGGCATCTCCAGGATTGGATAGAGGCCGTTCCGGGATTGAACCACGAAAATCGGCTCACCACGCGGGTTGCTAACAGTGCACCCGTGCTGATTGAAGTTAGTGGAGAAGCCTGCGGCGGTGATGGCGCTGATCGAGACAAGTGCCATAGGCATCGACGGTGCAAAGAGAACATTGCGCAGAGTAATCTTGATGCGACGTCCACCGTGCAGCATGGAGATCGGAACGTCACCCTCACCGGTAGCGAAGAAGCGCTTGCCATCGGCGGAGGTGATTGGCTTCGGCGGAATATCACGGAAGGTTGAGAAGTTCGTCTGAACAGGATCGAAGTGGCGGCTAGCACCGGAGTCGAGGATGCGCGTAAATCCGCGTGCGGGGAGGTTGACCTTGGCGACTTCTGCAAAATCGGCGCCAACCGTGAACGCGTATGTGTCGCTGTCCGCAGTCGCAGATGCTGCCGTATTGTTGGAGCCGCCGCCGCCGCCGCCGCCGTTCTTGTTCCGCCGGTTCGACTTCTTCTGCTGCCTCGGGCCCTTGCCCTCCTTCCCGCCGCCCTTGCTCCAGCAGTCCGGTTTTTGGTGGCCATTCTTGCCGCAGTTCTCGCATTTCGCGGGCGCGCTGGCAGATAAGGCGCTATCGGATTTAGCCGTGAGAGAGGCGTCATCGCGGGCGACCTCCTTAATGGCGGTCGTGAGGAGTTTCGCAGTGACGGGGGTCTTGTTCAGACGAGTAGACGCGAGGATCGTGCGGATAGTCGGACGCCATGACTGAGGGAGGAGCTGAATAATGATGGTTCGCTCCTCCTGATCGCTGAGGGCTCCGCCGCTCGACGCATATTGTGCCTTGAGCTTTGCGAGCTCGTCGAGGGTGGTTCGGGGATCGCCGTTCTCGTCGCAGCGAAGAGCATGCATGCGATCGAGAAGACTCTGCTGCGGCAGATCTCCGAGGTCCTGAAACTCGTCACAGATGGCCTTCCAGGCGTCCGCGGCGGAATCGAGACCGATGATGGTGAGCTTAAGCGTCTCGGGAATAGTGGAGTAGAGGAGCGTCTTCACTTTCTCCGTGTGCTGAGCATGACTATCGCAAGCGAGCTCCCAGGAGTAGTACTCCTTCTGGAACTTCTTAGCCGCATCCGCGTCGTAGGACTTCGACTTGGGGTCAGCCTCGGCGGGCCGTGACGGTTCGACCGGCACGGAAGCTCGACCATCTATGTAGCGTAACAGACCCTTGCCGGTGATGGCCGACCGAAGCTCGGCCTTCCAGGTGACGAAGTTCTCCCCTTCGCTTTGCAGCTTCGGGAGGTGGGTATAGAGCTTGTCGTCGGATGAGTCCATGGCAGAAAGGTTGTACGCGGAAGATGAGGTCGAGGCAGGGCTCATAACCTCTCAACGAGGCTTCGGAGCGGCGAGTGACAGAGCGGAAGCAAGAGCTAGAATGTACGCAGTACAGTTAGCTTCACACTGCGTAGGGATAACGAGCAGGTCTATTCATGTACCTAGAATGTACGCAGTACAGTTACTGAGGTACAATGAGCAACAATTAACTTAACGAGAGAATGAATCAACGTACGCTTCACACTGCGTAGGGATAACGAGCAGGTGAAGCGACGGATTTGCGAACGCGATGCTTAAGTGAGCGACGGCGGGCCGGAGGCCAAGAATATGATAAGAAGGACCATGTGGGCGCACCGGGCGCCTTCGCGATGCGAGGGGTATCGATCAGTGCTTTGCACCGATTGGATCTGGAGATCCGAACCTAGACCTTCGAC